ATGTATATATAATATTAATCCCTCGTGGTGTTCTTGAGATACCATGTTCACAAGAATGAGACAGACAAGGTCACAGTGACCTTGACCTTTGACCTATGACCACCAAATTAAATCAGCTCATCATGGATTCCATGTGGATGTTTGTGCCAAATTTAAAGAAATCTCCTTGAGATATCATGTTCACAAGAAAGGGAAACTGGTGGATAACTGGTGGTTACTACTTTAACTGGTTAAGCTACTTTAATTGATACTTACAATACTTAAATTCAAATGAAGATGGCTCCCATTTACCACTAAGTAAACCTTTGCAATCTAAGTTTAATAATTTATTGTGGAATTCTTGTTTACACTGTCAGAAAGGGTGTTCATTAATCTTGTCACCTTGTCTTTGCACCTTTTGTTTTTGTCCTTTTCTGATCTGTTTTCTTCATCTTCAGCTTACTGTCTAAGTGCCAGGGAACAGACCCATCTGTGTGACACTCACCATTTGTGCTCTCCAGGGCGAGCTGTAGACCCAGGTTCCTGCCAGGGTTCAGGACCCAGTGGTTACTGGTGGCTGTAACATCAAACACCAACCAGCCCTCCTCTGCTGCCCAGATCACCCGCGAGTCCAGCAGAAACAGGTCTGACTCCCTGTAGAGGACACAGGAGATAATAAAGTCAGAGATGAGCACAAGTCAACAGGGATTATATGCACAATTGCAAAAGATAGGTTGAAGCCATGTGACAGGGTGTAAAGCTAAGTGACCGAAGCAAAGTAATGGAGTGGAGAGAGGGAGTCGGAGGAGTGTGACGGAGTGAAACGAAGAGGAAGAGTGATGGAGCAAGAAAGAGAGTGAGGGAGGGAGGGCTCCAGATGGTGAGGCCCAGGGGAACACTTCATTTTCTTAATTGACAATAATGGCTTTATAAACGACCGGTCCTTTCATACACTACACACAGTCCATCACTGGCTGGAATTTTGTGGGAGAGCCAGAAAGCCAAAGACAGCGAGAGGGAGAAAAAAAACACAGCTGCGCACGAGGAAAAAACTGTGTGAAAATTAGCGGGTGAAATAGTGCATATCCAAGTCAGTCCTATTGTCCAACGCTGAACTCTGGATTTTCTACTCTTTCACCATCAGAGACTAAAATCCCTTGTTCTTCATGTGGCCATTCATGTAGCCCGACCTATTTTCTGACTGGGCGGATAGTGTGTCACAGAGCTCTGGTTCATTCATGTACCCAGGCCCGTCCCTGGCAGAGGAATAAATGACTGTGTTGTTCCCTCTGGACAACAGAAACCTTTAGGAGGGGTTGAGGAGAGCAGGACATGGGCCATTCCTGAGTTACATACACCTTCAGGCCGGCCCAGATTAGCCACATGGAGAAGCTGCGGTTAAGACCTGCTCTGATTGGAGAAGATTCTGGATAAGGACTGCGATTAATCCTGACATTCATCATTGATAAATATGAAATCTTTTAACTAATTAAGTAATTGTCCTGTCAATAAAATATAAGAAAATAATAACAAATGCAATTATCAAATACCCGGATCCTAAGGTGACTTTAATTTACAAACATTAGTCCAAAATCCAACGCTATTCAATTAACAATAGACCCTTTTCACAAAGACATTTTCACATATCGCAGTAGAAAAAGCACTGATGTAAATACTGTGCTTTCCGTCTATGACAAGTTGAAGTGTCTGCTGTGAAAAAGGCTGATGATGTAAAACAATTATTCACATTTAAGAAAATGGAAATGTCAGCAAATGTCATCTCCTCCAGATAACTAACTTTATCATAAGGAATGTAGCCGGACTGTGACATAGATTTATAAGGGCTCGTACACATGCCGCATCTTTCAAATGCCTGGAAAGCGCGAGGTCAGGTGCTGGGTGCTACTCTTTGTGCCTACTCTGTGCCAACTTTCAAGGACACTAAAGCAGGTTGCATCTGATGTTGCTAAGTGGCCACAGCCAGCACCATATCATAGCCTCCTTACCAGAAATCCTGAGTGCAGAGCTGATCTTTCCTCTTGAAAACAATGAATTTGAGGGCGCAAAAGACGCAGCATGTGCACAGCTCCTAAAGGGAACTGGATACAGCGATGGAAGCAGGGCCTTGATTGTTCCTATGAAGCTGCTCAGTGGCGCTTAAAGCCAAAAAGTTTGAATTTTGTGTGCTTCTGCACAGCATGGCCCATAGAGAAAGCACAAAAGAGACTTGCATAGGCCAAGCACGTAACTTACAGTTTAGCCCTCCACTACCTAATTAAATCATGCAGCTCTTCTAGACTTTCCAAATGCTATCAGACCAATTGTATCAAATCCTGATATTGTGATGCTCAAAAAATTCATCCTCTGATTAACAGATGTGTTTCTCACAATGTAAGTCTATGGGAAAATTTTGTTTTGGGCCCCATGGCATCATGTGAAGCACCTGGAAGTTGTAATTTCACAATTTGGGTATACTTCCGGGTGTGACATTAGTGGGATCTCCCGCATCGTTGGGCCCTTCAAGCAAGCACACTAGGGTTCCCTTTAACTCCGCCTCTTAACAACTTGGCGTCATTCACATGAATGAAAGGAAAATAACTATGTATTCAGATATGAGTAAATTTCACAACTTTTATGACGTAATGATTTAAATATGGGCTATTTAAGTGTTTGCACAGGCGGAGTTGAAAAAAAAAAGAAAAAAAAAATCCACAGACCTTTTTTCCTTTACAGACCTCTCTTTCACAATGTAAGTCTAAGGAAAAAATGTTTTGGGGCCCATGACATCACATATGCCATGGAAGTTGTAATTGCATGGTTTGACCACTACGTCAACTATGTCCACTTGAGGCTGAATCCAAAAAGAAATAAATCCCAATCGACCCCAATGTTAAAATGCCCAACTTTACAGCAGAAATAAACAAGTTACAGCCTGGTACAAAAAAACAGTTTTGGTCACTGAATATGTGAACAATCAGGACAACTGTACGAAGGGTGGAGCTTTTTATAACTCACCAGGTTACATTTTACCAAGGCCCAAAGTTAAACATATTTAAGGGCAGGGCTGCTTGAGTTACAGATTATCTGTGAGTCAAATCCACTCCTTGCTCCTCCACAGCTCTCGTCCAAATACGGTCGTTTTGGCTCCAAAAAACCAAGATGACTATGGCCAAAATGTCGAACTCGAGGCTTCAAAACGGCAGCCCACAAACCCAGAGTCCAGCCCATGGGCGGCTGTGGCTCAGAGGTAGAGCAGGTTGTCTACCACTTGGCAGTTCAATCCCTGGCTCCTCCAGTCCACATGTGAAAGCATCCTTGGACAAGATACTGAACCCCAAATCTCAGTGGCTGTTTCATCAGTGTGTGAAAGCATGTGAATGGTTACTGAGTAGCAGGTGGCTCCCTGTATGGTAGCCTCAGCCATCTGTGTGTGAATGGGTGAATGTGATATGTAGTGTAAGGGTGCTTTAAGTGGCCAGAAGACTAGAAAAGCACTATACAAGTGCAGTCCATTTACCCAAGGGTGACATCACAGTAGCTACGTCGCTTATTTATACAGTCTATGGTGTGAACGAGCTTGTTGGTTTACAATATTGAAATATACATTGTTGATGCACAAACATTAAACCATAAACCCATGCTTACCTATCAGAGTGTTCCTCTAACACCTGGTAGACGCTGATGCGGAAGGTCTCGTTATCGAAACGTTCGTGGATGAAGTCTTTGTATATACGAAACTCGGCAGCAGTGACCGCCTCGCCCTCTGGGATCCGCGATAGGTCGAATCTGAACTCTCGGTGATGCCGCCGCACTGGTAGGAACTCCTTATCGTGCTCCACTGCAAATAAAAAGTAAAATATTGGATCATCAGACAGATGGTAAGTTAGCAGGGAATGTTTCTGCTTTTCACATGAGCTCTTTTCTTCCCTCGTTCATCAGCAGGGATACACAATACATGCAGGAAGACACGGAGGGTTGATGCGGCTTCATTTGAAACATAAATGTTTTTTTGTGTGGTATTGAGTTTCATCTTTAAAAGAAACAAAACATGTCTGCAAAAGAGGTCAAGAACAAACTTCTTTTCTCTCTGATTACCTACTATTTATTCTTCCTCTACAGTCCATCAACCCTCAGTTGTTAGCAAGGAGCTGACATAGCTTGTCAGACTCGGGGCCAGTCCCAGATTAAAAACATCTATAGATATGCAGTACATATGTTGGCTTATGATTGAAACATTCATGAGGACTAGCACTAGGAGCAGTGCATCTGGCGCACACTGAGCCATGATAGAGAGATGCAGGCGGACTCTGACAGCTTTATGAGCCCCTTTCTTCTCCCTCTCTTCCTCTCATAGCCCCAGAGAGTCATCCAGTCTGCCCTTCATCTGGTTCTCATGAGTTGGGGGCTCCATGTTTGGTGTACCCCATCCCCTCTTCTCTCTCATCCCATCATCCCAACCCCAAGACGTGCCCCCCCGACCTCGCTCCTCTCATGTCCCAGCAGGACATCCCAGGGGTCAGCGCCTTGTCTCTCATCATCTCCTGGCTCACCCTCCACCTCCCTCTTTATCAACTGTCAGGGAGACCGCCCACACATACTCGCATCCATACAAACACATTCATACACACAAACACACTTAATGCTTTTTAAGTTTGCAACAACCATAAAAGCAATACTTGAGCTACCCTGACCCAGTGGCATTTTGGGCAGTTGTTTTGTCTTGTCTTGATCCTGTCCTCTTTCTATGCACCGTAGTTCAGAGTAGAGATTGTGAGATTCCCTCTCTCCCCTAATTATATAGCACTTATCAGAACCAGAGATAATAAAGTGCTTGATATGTCATTGCAAACTGAATCTTAAGGTTTGGGGGTCGGACTCCCCGAACATTCATGTATCCAAAGATGAACTGATTACATGAAAGAAAACTACGAGTCAACAGCCATGCTAGCAGCTCTGCAAGGCTGTAGGCACAGCGGGGTTTTAAACTGAATGCTGTCATCAGCATGCTAACATGCTCACACTTAAAATACCAGCATGCTGATGCTGAGCATAGTGTTTCAGCATTCTAACATGTGGTACTTAGCGTTAAAAACAAGTGCAGGTATTTGGTCATAAACCAAAGTATTGTGTAAGTATTGTATGTTGGCCTGATGATGAAGCAGCATAGGATAACTATGGCTGGGTAATTTTTAAAAATCTAAAATACCAATACCAATACTAATAGAGTACTTCATTTGATACACATAAGCCCCTTTTACACCGCCAGATTTTCCGCGAATGTTGGCCCGTTTTGCCGGCAAGCTGCAAGCGTTTAGACACACAGAGCCGGATTGGCAAGTTGATCCGAGCTGCCCAATTTTCCACCTAGTAGGGTAGACATGTTGGCGGAACCCTGTTAGTTTAAACAGACCAAGGCAGCCTTCCGCAATGGGAGGGACTGTTGAAGACGAGGCACATACAACCCACTGGCCATGGATAAACAGGAAACAGCTGATAGCAGGAGTTAGCGAGCAGCTAGTAGCAAGAGGGAAACACAAACCTGACAGACACTGTAAAGATGAGCAACTGGGGAGACAAGGAATTGCGCGCCCTCCTTGCCCTCGCAAGCGAAGATGCCGTTAACCGTCAGATGACGGGGACGGTGAAGAACAGGCCAACTTACAAGAGAATTGCTGAAGGACTGATCAGCCGCAGCTTCCCTCCCACGTCACTGTTTATGTCACACGCTGAGCTACACATTTTGTTACTTGCTCACGCCCCCCATTGCCCCGAAAAAGGCGCATTCTGTATGAACAAAAGTAGGTAGGTGGCATTTTGCTGCACTCCCCGATTTTGTTTTTATACTGCCAATGCTGAAAAAAGACTGATTGGGCTTTCCTGCAAATTTGCATAATTCCTGTTTAAAAAGGGCTAGAGTTTGAATGGAGTGCTTTATAGTTAAGCAATACTTTTAGCATTTTGGTGGCATCTCACAGATTGTATTAACGGTAGCTGCTGGTGCTGGAGTGTCCGTGCAAGTAGTATGAAAAATGAAGCCAACATGGATCTTCCAAACACTGCAGTTCTTTGAACGGCCACTTAATGCTGGCTCCAGAAGCCAGTCGATCCCCATAGACCCCCCTGTTAAAAATGAAAATACCCAACTTCATAGCAGATATAAACATGTTTACAGCCTATAGGGGTTAAAGTTAAGCGTTATTAAAGGCGGGCTGCTTTAAATGACAGTCTGTCTGTCGATAGTGTCCTTGGCTTCTCAGATCCACCCCTCGCTCCTCCACAGTGCCAGCCTCTTGTTTAAATGTTGTCACCTCTGGCTCCAAAAAAACGAGATGGTGTCAGCCAAAATGCCAAACTTGAGGCTTCAAAACAGGAGTCCACAAGCCAATTGGTGATGTCATGTTAGCTAAATCCATTATTTTTACAGTCTATGGCTCCGTGCCAAAGACAGCTGTGAGAGTCCACCCAGCCACACACACACAGGACACACACTTGACCCACTAACTGTTAGCATCACATTGCTAACAGTTTACCAAGTTTACCAACAGAGTCCAAGCATTTCAGTGCCAGTGTGAGTTTACTGGTGCCGTGTAACAGCACAGTGTTGGATGCTGGGGGTTGTCTCTCATAAAGGTGTCCACCTCTGCCTCTGGGTCTTTGCTTGTTGAGGGGCACTGTAGTCGTCTCTCAGGAACAACATCATCGCATTGCCCTGGCGGTATCGTACATCAACCACATGCCCCTGCAGGGCTGAGTCACAGCTGGTGACAGAGGACACTCCTCTCCAGCAGCACCTCTCTCTGCTGTCTTCATCAGCAGCCATCCATCAGCCATCCACTGTCACTTGACAATCCTTTATCAAAGTCGACTGCCTCTAAACTCGGCACAACTTTTATTGGATCTTTACCGAGCTATCATCTCACTTATGGACAACACACACACACACACACACACACACACACACTACAATTCAAAAGAATTTCTGAAGGCAGCATACTTGTTCTGCACCAGCTGTTTGTAATAAAAGTGCGCAATGATGTAAATGTTATGCATGTTTCACTGCTAGTGCGAGTTATTTCTTTCACTGCACACCTGCCTCTTTGTCCTCCTCGGCCCTGTTTCCCCTCTTCCCTCTTATGCAGTTTTCCCAGTGGGCTCTCTAACCTACACCCCCTTTCATTTATGTCTCTATTAAACCCAGTTGCTGAAGGACATTATACAAAGGCAGCACTGTGAGATGATTGGCCAGAGCAGGAGTAAAGAAAGGATCTAATTACTCTTCAGTGAGGGACAGCTCTGCTCTCTGTTGGCCATTAGATGGCCTAGCTTTAGGCTCCCATTGTCCTCGATCTGCTGCGGACACACATTGGACCAGTTTGAAAAGCTGTTTGAGTCTTCCTGAAAACAATGGAGGTAGGCCTTTATCAATTTCACATCATCTGTGCTGCAGAAGTCTAAAGCTACACCTGAAGCTAACCTCACCCTCCACACTCCACCTGACTCTATGTCACTGTATTCTCGCCCAGTGGTTGCAACCTTTTGGGCTTCTGACTCGTTAAAGTGTGTAGGATTTAGTGGCATCTAGCGTTGAGGTTGCAGAACTGAAATTTCCCCAGTGTCCAATGCATGTAGGAGAGCATAAAAACGTAAATGTATCTAGAGCCAGTGATTTGGTTTGTCCGTTTTGGGCGAACAACATGGCAGTGGAAGAGGCCCCACTTTGTATGTAGATATAAAGGGCTCATCCTACAGTAACAAAAACACAATGATTCTTATTTTTAGGTGACTGTACACATACAAAAATAACGCTATTAATATTATATACCATTGCTGCCAAAAGATGCCCTTACATCCTACACACTGGACCTTTAAAAAGCGTTAGTTTTATTTCAACAAAAGTGAGGACTAGCGTTTTTATTTTCATCGATCCAATTACTTCGTGTGTTGTTGCCCTTTTGCACATTTTTATTTCTCCTTCACATCTCTCTGCTCCAGGGCCTGTTTTTTCTTCCACCACACCAGGGACCTCTCCCTCCTCCTGCAGCCCAGCGCAGGTGCACTCCCTCTGGGGAGAAAGCCAGACCTGTTCTTTAGCCTCCGGAGCAGCCGCCCGCCCCTTCACTGTAAAAGCTCTTTATCTCCGCTCGTGAGAACAGCTGGATGCTGCTGTGAAACTCCCACACTAACTATTTCTCTTGCACTGCTTTCCATTTCCACTCCTCAATGCACAAATTTCATGTAAGAGAAAATGAGAGCAGCCTACAGAGTGTAGCTTTAGCCCGTGTCTTTGTCTCTGTGTTTCTTTCTCTGTCTCTTACAGGCCATTACAGCAGTATGGCAGTCATTAGATGAGGGGAAGAGGCACAGTCAAAGCCAGGCGGGTGCATTTATGACTTCCTCTGGGAGGAAGTGAGTAGCCATCGCCCCACCTGTGTCACAAACATACGCACACCACAAACATGGGGAACACACCCTCTCATGGCTTATGAGCCCTTCATTCTGAGGAAGTCAGCTGCTGCTCCTCTCACACACACACAACTATCACAAAGTGTTTCCTGTGAAGCGAACGGTCTTGTGCGTCACAGCACGGTAACACAATCATTATGGGTTTCTGTAATCCATAATTAGAGATGCAACAACACACACATGCAAAGAGACAAACACACACCAGCACATAAACATACACGTACACAGTGAGCTGCTTTTATCATTTGGTCCGACGTCTTATTTGCTTTTTATACAAACTGCTGAGGATGCACAGTCATCCCACATCATTTGACTTATGCGGGCCACACACGTGCGCAGCAGCACACATCAGAGATTTCGGGATGATAACGACTT